ATGTATTATACCTACTACATATCTATGGATTCAATTTTCTGTTACTTTATTTAGGGCATTTGTATCTGTGTTTATAAGAGGGCTTTCCCTACAATTTTCTTATATTGTATTATCTTTGTCAGGTTTTGATATCAAGGGCATGCTGGCCTCATAAAACATTTTTCTGTTCTCCAGAATAGTTTTGTAAGATTTTGTTATTTGCTTGTTTTAAACATTTGGAAGCATTCACTGGTAAAGCCATTTGACACTGGAGTTTTCATACCTCAAAAGGTGTCAAATAAGCCTAAAATGAATGAGTTGAGGAAAGCCATTTAACTTACTGGTTCTATGACAAAAATCATACTTTAAGCATATAATACTATGACTGGTTGGTTGTTGTTTCCCTAATGAATTTAGAGGTCTCTGCTAAAAGAAAAGAATTTTCCTTTCAAATCAGAAAAAAGTAAAAATCACTTCTGGCTTTTCCATTTGTTAAAATAGTTTCCAAATGTTAAAGTATTACTTAAATCTTCTATGGTTCTTAAATAAAGACAGAATAGGTTTTGAAAATAAGCCTCCATGGATCCATTCTAGCCTAACAGACAATATAAACTTTCTGCATGTTCCATGAGGACAGCACACTGTGTTATATTCAATGATACGTTCTCTTGTCTGGTACACAGTAGATGTCCAAAATAATATTTGTTGAATGAATTGTTGCATCATTGAAGAAGAAAAGAAACACTAACTGATACTGTGATGTTATGAAATAATTAAAAAATATAAATTTGTTCTTCATCCCCAGTTCCTAATACAGAGCTCCTAAAAACCGCACGAATTTTCTTAGTGATGGGGTGAGAGGAGCATCTTTTGTTATTGGTAGTAAGTCCCTTTCGAACATACCTCAGATTAGGCTAACGAGGGACTCCTGGAGGATGGGGCCAGCTGCCAGAGAATGAACCATGTGATTAGAGGGTTGGAACTTTCAGCCCAACTCCCTGACCTCCAGAAAGGGACAAGGGGCTGAAGATTGAGTTCAATGACCAATGATTTAATCTATCACCCCTGTGTAATGTGGCCTCCATAAAAACCATAAATGAGTTCAGAAAGCTTCAGGGTTGGTAAACACAGAGAGATGCTGGTAGGGTGGAGGACTTCAAGAGGGTGTGGCAGCTCCATGCCCCTCCATAGAGGCACTATGTACCTCTTCATCTGGCTATTCATCTGTATTCCTTGCAATATCCTTTATAATAAACTGGTAAACATAAGTCAATGTTTCCCTGAGTTTTATAAACCATTATAGCAAATTACTGAACCTGAGGGGGCTATGGGAATCCCCAAATAACAGCCAGTCAGAAGTACAGGCAGCCCAGACTGTGACTGGCACCTGGGTGGAGGGCAGTCTTGTGGTATGAGCACTTAACCTGTGGGGTCTGTGCTAACTCTGCGTAGTGTCAGGACTGAGTTAAAATGTAGGACACCCAATTAGAGTCTGAGGAGAACTGGTTGGTGTGGAAAATCCACACAGTTTATGTCAGAAGCATTGAGAGTAGTATAGAAAAACAGTGTTTCCTTTAGACATGTAAGTACCCTCCTTGCTTTTATTTTTAAAAGTATACTTTTAAACTACTTTTAACATAATAATAAAACTGACACCAACATATTTTCTAAATTCTGTATAGCCTTAACAGAAGTACCTTGAAGATGAAGTTGGGATGTTGTATAAACAAAAACCCAAATTCAAGAATTTACTCATTTTCTTTGGATTTAGGAACTGACTTTTTATCTGTTGCCGAACATTGTCTCCTCATGAATTAAATCAATATGCTCTGGTCTATTTAGAAATGAGCACATGAATAATGAAAAAGAAATACTATAGTTCAGTCCATCTCACAAAGAAATCTATGTCTGCAATATGCAATGTTACCAAAGCCCTAGAAGAGTGCCTAACACAGAACAGGTACTCAACAACACATGGCACTTGCCATTTCTAACATCATCACATAGTGGGAGTCATTCATAGTAAGTGATGCAAATACCACCCAGAAGAAAACATCAAAAGCCACTGGAATGTGAACAGAGACAATATAAAGGGCCCTATAATATGTGAAAAACATCTAAAGATTTTTTCAATTCAAAAAAACGGCAGCATTGGATAACAATTGTAAAGATATGAAGGAAAGGCTTCCTAGAGGCAACAACCTATGAAACCAGTCTAGAAAGATGAGTAGGGGAAAGAGAAAGAGACACATGCAGAGAACTGCAAGCAAAGGAAACTGTGTCTAAAAAGAAAATGTAAGCATGCAGCTGCATAGTGCGTTCAAAGACCCTCTGTATGCGGTGCCCAAGATTACAGGTATGCTAAAGGAAATACAGTTGCCCAAGAAGGAAGAGGGCAGGTCATGGAAGGCCTTTATGTCATACAAAGGAATAAGAATGTCATTGGTAATAAAAACCTAAAAGACTCTAGTCTGAGATGGTACTAACTGAGAAATAGTTAAACTACTGTATTTGAGACCCCAAGGAGAAAACACACCAGCCTGGATCAACTGAAATCTACAAACAAGCTTATTTAACTCTGTAAACAAAAAGAAATTAAGATGGAGGCTGGGTGCAATGGCTCACGCCTGTAATCCCAAAACTTTGGGAGGCTGAGGCGGGTGGATCACCTGAGGTCAGGAGTTCGAGACCAGCCTGACCAACATGGCAAAACCCCGTCTCTACTAAAAATACAAAAAATTAGCCAGGCATGCTAGCAGGCACCTGTAATCCCAGCTACTTGGGAGGCTGAGGCAGGAGAATCGCTTGAACCAGGAGACGGAGGTTGTGGTGAGCCAAGATCGCACCACTGCACTCCAGTCTGGGCGATGGAAAAAGACTCCATCTCAAAAAAAAAAAGAAACTAAGATGAAAACAAACCCAAAATCAACTATAAACATTAATGAAGAAATATTATAGAAGACATTTATAAACAACATATCCAATCTTTTATATTTGGGGGGAAAATTATCCAGCTCCCATGTGCAAACATCCAGCAGACCTGACTTGATTCATTGCTGTGTTTTCTCTTCCAGTTAAAGCTAGTTCTTAAGAAAACAAGTTTCTGCTTTGTAAGATTACTAAATTTAGTGAATTCATCCTGTGCTTTTGGTCTTCCTAGTCGTAAAAGTTTACATCACAAGAAACAATCCTGTATCTTTTTCTGGTGTTTGGAAACACTGAAATTGTTCAACAAGTATCTACTCCCTGCCTACTGTATGCCAGTTAACAGGTGGCTAGATAGAGAAGGAAAATGAAAGAATAAAACTCACATTTTAAAAGCACCTACTACTTGTCAGACACTATTTTAGTTGATTACAGCTCATTCACCCTTATCAAAAACTTACACCATTTATAGGTAAGGCCCCTAAAGCCCAGAGCCAGTAAATAAAGGATCTAGAATGGAGACCACAATCTAACTTGAAAGGTGCCAGTTGTTACCTTAATACCATGGATAGAAATAAAATAAGACAAAACCCCTGCCCTCACCAGTTGAGACTTGGGAGGCATGCATGCTTCTCCTCCTTTAAACATACAGTTCCCTTTCCTAAAATATTCTCTTCTCCCCTTAGTTTTCATTTTGCAAACTCTCCTTTCCAACTGCAATTCAAATGTCACTCTTACAAGAAATTTAAGTTTCCTTAGAGCCATTGTCTCCCACTCCATATACTTCCTTCATCTCTGTGTTCACATCAGGGTTAAGAAACGTATCACACAGCAATGTGGCTCTCTGTCTACACATCTGATTTCTGCAATGGTCTCCAAGTTCATCGAGGGTAGTCAAAGTGTGTTCATCTTTGTATCTCCAGGACCCAGGCCAGTGCCACGTACAAAGCTGCCAATCAAAAAATGTCAAATAAACAAATGGATGGTGGAAATCCTCCAAATAGAAGTGTCAGTTTAAACTAGGAAAGTACATAAAGACCTATCTGGAAAAGAATGTAAAGAAAGAAAAGAGGACATAGGCTAGAAGCTTAAGAAATGTCTACAACTGGCTGGGCGCAGTGACTCGTGCCTGTAATCCCAACACTTTGGGAGGCCAAGGTGGGTGGAAAACCTGAGGTCAGGATTTTGAGAGCCTGGCCAACGTGGCAAAACCCCATCTCTCCTTAAAAAAAAAAAAAAGTAAAAAAGAAAAAGAAAAAAAAAGATTAGCTGGACGTGGTGGTGCACCTGTAATCCCAGCTACTCAGGAGGCTGAGGCAGGAGAATTGCTTGAACCCAGAAGGCAAAGGTTGCAGTGAGCCGAGATCATGCCATTGTACTACAGCCTGGGCAACAGAGCGAGACTCCATCTCAAAAAAAGAAAAAAGAAGTGTCTACAACTAAGTGGAGAAAAGAGAGAAATCAATAAAAAAAACAAACACACTGAATAGAAGAAACAGAACCGGGCCATGGAACTAATGAGAGGTTATTACAAAGAAAATGGAAATCAATGGTCTCAAATCACTGTAGAAAGCTCAAGGAAAATGAAAACTAAGAAAACAACCAATGAAAACAGGTAGGAAATCAGTGACAACCATGAAAAGAACAACTTTGGTAGAAAGCTGGGGTAGAAAACAAACTGCAGAATCCACTTCACTAGTGAGAAATAGACATTGGGTCCAAAATGTCTGGCTACAAACAAAAGGAAAAGAAACATCAGCATGAAAGAAAAGTCTGCACAAAACAAGGATGTGTATGCTTACCGAAATATGTCTATGTCCCTGACTTGAGAGTTAATACCATCAGGACACAAATCCAGCCTTAGGCACACACAAGTGGCACTGTGCCCAAAGCAAAGTGCCAAACACAGAAATAACACATATGAGAAACAGACAATACTGAAGATGATAAAACCAACATTTAAAATATCAACAAGGTCACAGGATGAATGGAAAGCCAAAAAGTAAAAGTTAAAGAAATAAAAGCAAATTTGTTTATCTCTTTTAATTATTTAATTAAAGAATGGATAAAAACCTGGTCTCAGGTTTTCCCTGTGTCCAGACTGTCTCCCCAGTTCCGGAGGCTGGGAAGTCCAAGATTAAGGCATCAGCATCTGGTGAGGGCTTTCTTGCTGAGTCATCATGTGGACAGAAGGTAGAAGTCGGAAGGCAGAAGGGCAAGAGTAAGAAAACCCAATTCTGCAAGCCCTTTTATTTATAATCCATTCAATAGGGCTCTACCCTCATGACCTAAACACCTCCCAAAAGACTCCACATCTGCCAACGCTGGTGCGTTTGAGATGATGTTTCTAACATATGAATTCTGGGGATACATTCAGATCACAGCAACCTGGTAGCACACAGAATCCATTTGAATAATTTCTTATCTTTTGACCTAGTAATTCTTTTTTTTTTTTTTAGAGTAGGGCTTTATTTCCAGGAAACAGTGTGTTAGTTGGAGATGGGTATTTTTTTAAAAAAACATCAAGGTAGATCTAATAAATTCAACAAAGTGGGGCGGCTCAGCCAGAGGCGAAGTAGAAAGATTCTCTAGTATTTGCTTGTCATCTTGCTGCAACCAGAAATCCACACGTGGAAATGGCGTCCAGGAGTACGGTCCTATGCGAAGTTGTTCTGTCTCTGCATCGTAAATGCTAATCATTGGTCCTCCTGCTAAAGTTCCCGCAGCAAGCAGCTGCTCCTCCGGACCTGGACCTTGAAAGGAGGCTCTGTAAATCTCTGCAGTCTTAATGTTGACAGCAATGCCATATATTATTGGAAAGTGGTTTTCGTTTTCTTCCCGGTCATTTAATTGTCACACATAATGTCACTAAGTGAATGTCATCTTCTTGCCTGTCAAATTCACTAAGAAGTTGATGAGTGAGTTTTTGTGACAACTGCCTGTGGTCACTGAAGCCTCCAAGGAGGTGCACTTTCAGCCTTCCACATTGAACGTGGTCGGAAAAGGATTTTATGGAGTTCATGATCAAGGGGAATTCAGCTTTGGTGTCGGTTCCGTCACAATGTGTCAAGCAGGTGGCCCCATTACCTGTTTGCCTCAGGACCACAATGTGACAAGTAGTGGCATCATCAGAACCCAGAATGGAGATGGAGCCATTCTTCGGGAAGGTCACTGCAAGCTCTCTTCGCTGAACACACAGAAGGCCCTGGGGTCCCACTTCTTGAACAGACTGACCTCTGAGAAGTCTGGCTCTTTCCTCCAAAGGAGAGTGGGCTCGGACGCAGCAGCGTGGGCGAGTACTGCGACAGCCGCACTCGCCTCCCCTCGACAAGCAACGGCATCGCGGAGGCGGTTGCCCAGGCAGGCCCAGGGAGGAGGCAACCCGCCCCCGCGCAGCCCCGGGCCGCCCGGGCCAATAGTATTTATATTAGGTAACTAAGCTACTTGAGTTCCTAAACTATATTCAATAACACACTATAACAACAACGATAATAAACAACCTCCTTCAACAACAGGAGCAAACACATTTTGGGCATATACAACTCTTATTAAGTGCCCACAAGTTTTTTTTTAAGAGAGAACTGTTGATGCTCCAGTAGTAATTCATAAAATAATACAGCAAAGGAACATCAAATTCACAATCTAGGAGATACAAGGGTTCCATTCTGAAATGTCCAAAATGGTGACTTGCGTGTGAAAAGAAACAGGAGCAACACAACTGCAACTCATATAGTAGACAAAATGCCAGAGAAAAGAAGTAATTTTAGGGCTTAACTTGTTTATATATTCATAAGACTAATTTCTTTGGGGTCAGAAAAGTTTGGGGACAGTATCTTTCAGTCATCTTTATTTTAAAAATCATTTTTGTTAAACATGGAGTCACCACGTGACCCAGTAACTCCACTCCTACGCAAATACTCAAAAGAAGTGAAAACATGTGCTTATATAAAACCTTGTGCATGAATGTTCGCAACAGCATAATAGCCAGAAAGTGGAAACAACCCAAATGTTCATCAACTGATGAAAGGATAACAAAATGTGGCATGTCCACACATGAAATGTTATTCTGCCACAAAAAGAAATGAAGTACTGATATATGCTACAACATGGAAGAACCCTGAAAACATTATGCTAAGTGAAGGAACACAAACACAAAACGACAGATATTGTACAATTCTATTTATATGAAATGTCTAGAATAAGAAAATCCATAGAGACAGAAAACAGATTAGTGGTTACCAGCATCTAGGAAGAAGGCGAACAGAGAGTGACTACTGCTTAATGGGCACAGGGATTCTTTTGGGGGTGAATAATGTTCTGGAATTAGATGGTGGTGAGGGTTGCACAACATTGTAAATATACTAAAACCACAAAACTGTATACTTTAAAATTATTAAAATGGTGAATTTTATGTTATATGAATTTTATCTCAATTTTTTAAAATGTTAATCATTTTTTGGCATAATCTAACCACCTCTTACCAAAGTCTGGATGAAAAGATAATTCCAATTACAAATAATAAATCATTTTGATAATGCAGGTGCCTCATTTATTAAAAAACAGTTATCTTTTTGATAAACCTCAAATATAGTCATTTAAAGTTTCAGACTGTTTTTCTTTACATTTTCTTCTAGTTCTTTACACTATCAACTATTGAAAGAGCAGCTATCTTCTTTTTCTTTCTAATCCCACTTGATGCACTAGCATATCATTTTGCAGTAGCACAGGCCAAATGGAAAAATAGTAATACTCAAGTTATGAGGAGGTGCTTTACACTTTCAAGTGTTTCAAGATACAAAAATTCTGTATATTGAAATAACTGCCATAATCTGTAAATGTACTTGTCAAAAAGACTTCAAACTATGCTGAAAGCTACTAAAAGTGGGTCTCAAATAGAAAGTTTGTGACAAACATTTATTAAACATAATGTAACAGGTAATCCCCTTCCGGAAAAAAAAGAGTGAAGCTGGAGTCCAGTAAGACAGAAACGACATGATTGTCTGAACTTAATATTAAGATGAACTCCAAGGCTGAGCATGGTGGCTCATGCCTGTAATCCTAGCATTTTGGGAAGCCGAGGCAGGAGGACAGCTTGAATCTAGGGGTTCGAGACCAGCCTGGGCAATACAGCAAGACCCCATCTTAAAAATAATAATAATAAATAAAATGATCTCCCCAAAATAGGAAGGAGGTAGGTTACAGAACACTTAGTGGGATAAAAATAACTCAAGATATTCTAAAATCTATCTCTTTTCAATAAACTAATCAGTGGGTTTTTCCAACTACAAGAACAATATATCCTTCAACTGCTAGAGCTAACTAGAGAAGGGGGTGAAGGGTTAGAGTGAGGGATCTCGAGTCTAAAACAAGGAAATCGTTATCATTACTTGAAACCTCTGAAGCCCCAACAAGTTACACTGCACCCAGGACTCTCCTCCAGGACCAGCTATAATAATGTCATATACAAGTTCTCCTTTCTCTATAGTGACAAACTAATTTTTATCATAAGAGCAAAAAAGACCTACTCATCCACATCAGTGCTTCTCAAAATGTAATGCTCATACAAATCACTTGGGGATCTCGTTAAAATGCAGATTCTCATTCAGTGGGTCTTGGGCCTGAGATTCTTCCATGCTGTTAGTACATGGACCACACTTTGAGTGGCAATAATCCAAATTACCCCAAAAGGAAAACCACGCCCAACACCAAGTATGTATTAGAGAGGACAGGCAGAAAGCCCAAAGCCAATATATCCAGGCTCAACCTCCTCACTTTCAAAAGACACCATATCTTATCCCAAAGGACCAGAGACTGCAGTGCTTTTAGACTAAAGATAGTGCATCATAATTTCAAGGAAAAGAAATGACCATGCACCAAGTGCCGTGACAGTATCCAGCTCATCTTAGATAGCATTCATCCAGTGAGACTGAGTAACATGATTTGAATGTGTCCCCTCCAAAATTCAGGTGTCGCCAATGTTATAGTATTAAGAAGTGAATGGCCATGCGCGGTGGCTCACGCCTGTAATCCCAGCACTTTGGGAGGCCGAGGCAGGCGGATTACCTGAAGTCAGGAGTTTGAGATCAGCCTGGTCAAAATGGCAAAACCCCGTCTCTACTAAAAATACAAAAATAGGCCGGGCGCAGTGGCTCACGCATGTAATCCCAGCA